TCCCCCATCTCGTTCTAACCGAGCTTCCCTTCATCATCATCATCATTCATTCGTTCATTTCAGTGGTAAGTCCCCCTTTCTTTTCCATTCATGATTCCAGGCATCAAATAAGCAGCCCTACAATCCCCAGCTCTCGCAAACCCCTGTATCCGCCTGCATACGTCAAATTTTCTGGAAGGTAAGGGAAAATAACACCCAGGCGGACACATAATGGTCAAACCTGGGTATATCGCAGCAGCAACCCCCGGCCGGGAGAATACAATGGTGTCCGACGGCAAACGAATGCGAATCCTTTGGCGCGATGGCGATGGCAATGGCGACTCCAACAAGGCCTTCGTTATGCGGTCGAAGACTACAGTCCGCGGTCATCCGACCTGGAAGATGTACATGGCAAAGGTACCACGTCCCGTCATCTATGGCAGACAGGAGCCTCCAAGGTACGTATACCTCGACGATAAAGCCTGCTACGCAGTCTACAACTCCCAAACATATACCGCGAAGGAGCTCAGCACATTCTGGCCCTACGATTTTGACAACTTGGGCAACATCAAAGCCAGCCGGCCAAATCGTGGTCGGCCAGCATATCTCGAAAATTCTACCACTGTATTTGCCAGGGGTCCACTTCGTCGCTCCAAATTAACAGAATATGAGTTCTGTGGTCGCCCAGCTTCATCAGGACAACAGACCCCTGACTGGCGCGTGAAGAGAGCAGCAGAGGAAGCGCAGGCGAAGAGAATTGAGGCTGGTACCCAGATTTCGCTCAGCGGCACCATGCCGGCTATGCACAAGCCCAGACCCTACGTTCCTGGTCCTATCGACGGTAGAATCAAGCCACTGAGCATCACCGACCGGGCTATCCAGGGCTCACCGTACTTCGACATCCCGGCAGCAGCCATGCGGAAGCGACCCAGACCTGTTCCCGGTGATATGGCTGCAGTATATGCAGGTTTCACTTCTAATCGGAACGCTGAGGCCACCGCGGCGAGCGCTGTACCAGAGTCGAAGAGGGTCAAAGTCAAGCAAGAGGTGGACATTCAGAATGAGCTGCTAGCGATGATAGAGAAGTTGGACAGCTCTGAATGAGGTGAGTGGCGCAAAAGCGGTCCTAAAAAAAGTTTGTGTTTGTTGGCTACCCTGTGTGGGCGTTGACAGGATGGTCGGGCGTTTGGTGATGTTTTGAAGGACGGCTGGGCACTTTTGGCGAAAAGGTAGCAAGTGGGAGGAAGTCGATCGACTAGAACCTAATGATTGTGACCTTCCCACACTATCCTACTTTATTTCACAATACTACTGTTCACGATTTTGATAATGATACCGTTGCGAAGGCCTTCAGGCTCTGTCTTCAGTTTCCATCATCCATGGCATGTAATGGTGCGTGACGTCACGCGTTCGCGCTAGCTGCAGGTGCCCTCTTCGCGGCTTCCACTTCACCCGACCTGCACAAAACACCACAACGCAAGACTGTCCTATATGCAGGACCTCAAGAAACAATATCCTGGAATCTAGGCCGATGCTTCGTTAAAGATGTCGGCAAATGAGACCCACTGGTCGCAGTCACACCGACTGGTTTATCTTGCCAGCAACGCAAATCACAAGCCATGATCGCACTGCTGGACACACCGAGAGAAACCCGACATCGCTATCTAACCACATTTTCCTGCCTGTGAAGAGGCCAAGCTAGCGTAGAAAAGCATCCGAGACAGTGAACCAGCTTTCGGCTCAAACCTTTTGGCACCAACAAAAGTCCATCTGCCCACCTGGCATGTCTCACTCAAAATGCGTGGCCATGAGCTTTGTGAAAAGCCAGGATGTTTCAGTAGCAGCGAGCCGGGTCTCGCTCGAACAACAACTTCACTGAGACAAGCCCGGAATAGCATATGTCTTCAAGCCACGCTGTTCGTTCTGAGAGTTGCTGTGGGAGGACAGTGAGGGCTCAAGGTTTGTCTGCGTACTTAAATCATCCACTCTCTCAAGCTGAGTTCTTGTTGCATAATCCAGCTCGTGTCTAACATCTCTGACTCAACACCTCGCTATTTCTACCGACTCGTACAACTCCGACAGGTAAGCGATCTTCACGGATTCGTAGGTACTTTACTGGGAGATGTGACCCTTTCGGGCGTCAAAAGCAACGCGTCCACTATCTGATATCTTGATTGACATCCTTCCAGTCTCGTTACTCGCCACCTGCTTTGGCTCCAAATGCTGTCTCTCGGTGCGGGTCCTTACATGGCGACCCCCAAACCACCCGAAACATTGGAAAAGCTACTCGAAGCTACTTCCAAAACAGCCAGAGTTCACCATTACACCGAGCCTTTGGGACTTCGACAGCCCTCTGTAGGCGACAAAGGCGGAACCAAACGAGGACGGCCCAGATACGAGGGCACAGCTGGCGACCTCAACAAAGCGACTAAAGAGATAGTGGATCAAATCTCTGACACGTACCTCTCCGTGGAGAAACTATGTGAGGCAATACGTTCGCAACCTACCTTTCTCGATACGAACGTTGAGCCACTCATGAAGAAGTACGGTCCCACGTTATGGAACCACGATAGTGGCTTTAAGCCACGCGCCAACGACATCGACGAACTGAACCAGGACTATGCTCGTCCCGATTACCTCTTGTATGAAGATGATCAAAATCGCAACAAGTCAGTATCGTGACAGTGGGTCTGAGAGCTAGCTAAAAAATTCCTCACAGCATCAAAACGCTGGTATCTTGCTGGATACTTCAGCGTGCATGCGTAAAGATACGGGGGCGCCCTTCCCAAGAGATCGAACACGCAAACCAAGCGGCTGAGCCTACGGGAGCCCCCACTGTCTCCACGGGACCCGGTCATACATGGAAAGCTCTCTTACTCTCTTGGTCAAGTCTGATATGGTTATGTATTGTATGGTCAGTCCGCAAACTCTTCCTTGTGGCATTCTTTCTTATGGCCTGCATTTTGTTGTTGATTTTGGACAAGGCAACGCGAGATCAGTCTCCTGGAGCCGGAGAAGTCAGCATGTTGACTCGCCAGGCTTTTGGGTTCGATTAGGCCTTTCGCGCCTATTTCCTGTGTGTCATTGTGGGTTTTATAGGGGTCAGGAGCTTGTGAAATTGCTTATTCGCTGGAAAATGGACAGTAGATGGCATGATAGAAGCAAGCAGATGTTCTCAATCCATTCTTTCTACCCGATCAAAGCAACGCCACACTTTGACAGATGTACGAACTATCTCTCGGGCCGGTCTACACCAAGGATCGGAAGATACGACCCCTGCATCGGAGCCTCAAGTGTCGGAAAGTCGGTTAAGGCGACGCCACAGACGCAGTCCGGCTCATATTCTCCTAATCTCTTTTCGGCTCCAGTGGCGTACGCCACCGAGACGTAAGATTAAACGGGGCGGTACGTTGCCGAAATAAAGGAGTCGCCAGTCATCGCTGGGCAGGATCAGCAATGCGGCGCGGTTGGCTCTATGGCCGAATGGAGTTAGCGGCGGTGTTTGTGTATCAGCTACCAAGTGACATAAGGTGCGTGCACACTACCACGCCAGGGAGCAAACGCCATCTAGGATTCCTAAAACTTCACCGGTAGCCGTGCTCATCACTTCCTTACATTTTCCATCACTCGTCAACGTGTGATTCGGACTCATACCTGCATGCACTCGGCTCGACTAGCCAAAAGGCCCCAGTCGGCCTATGGGCGTTGTCACAGCCACCCGTTGAATCCAACTGCAGAATTTGCTTTCTTTTCTTCCCCAGGGGTTCAGGCTTGTGGATACTGTTGCCTACGCTACGTAGGTGTCATCGGTAACGGCATCTGGGCGGCCTGGGCAGTTCTTTATTCCCGATGTCAGGTGGACTTAATGAAGACGCCAGATTCTCGCTTTGATGTGAGCTTATCTCGAAGCATTGGTCTCTCAGATCTTGCACGAAGGATGCAATGATTGCCTTCAAGGTAGGGCTGACGTACAGCTCATAGAATCCTATGGAAGCACGAAATGCGGCAACGGCTTTGCTACTCCCGCCCGATAAGGCACGTATAATTGCTGAAGCACGAGCCCAGCCCTTTCCGTCGGTGCAAAACAGGGGACCTAGAAAGGGACAGGCCATAGCTTCCACGTAACTTTAGCGAACCTTGGAAGGACGCTCTCCGACCAGCTCTTGGCCTATCGGAGAGCTTACCATGATGTCTTGCTGCTCAACATCATTTTGACCAGTATTTTCATCCTTAATAGCGCTATGAAGGTCCTCCTCGTTGCCGATCGCGCAAAGAGTTTCTACGCTAGGATACGTTCCCCGAAATTGCATATTCTAGATAAGAGCAGAATATCTGACAGTATGGTCAAAACCTGTGGCAGCTTGCTCGTGATGAAGCTAGCGAACTCCGGAATATGACCTGAGCTTTCTCGTGAAGCTAATATCAGGGGTCTTTTAGAGCTTGTGCCCATCCTGTAAGAGGCACTTCGAAGGTTGGAAAATTAGTTATCCTCGAAACTACGTACTTGTAAGCGTGAGATAGTATCCGTGCAGTAGAAAGCGATGCATAATGCAGCCACCGCTAGTGCGAATATGGCACTATGTATGTATATCTCAAGCCGGACCGGGGATACGTGTCGTACGATGGGATGTAATAGTCCCTGCCAAGCGGAAATCCTCCCCGTCAAATCGCCGTGGTAGCTCTACGCCGAGTCGCCGAAGCCACAGGTCAGTCTCGGTGAGCAAGATACAGCTGTGAAGGAATATTGCCATCAATTTATAACTGATAGACTGTGCTCCCTTTTTGCACGCCAACCTCATGGTACTACACTCGAGATTGTCAGATATCGTTCTACGCAGAACTTGTACCTTTATCCCCCTTGCTCTGATTTAGATACCGAAGGTGGCGACGACGACGATATTGTTCCAAACAGCATCTGGCAAATTGAGTGTATGTCCAGACCCACACAAGCAAGCGTTGGAAGTCTTGTCTAACCGAATCGAAAAGCCGGCAGCAATAGATTGTCGTCACAGTTCCTGGCTATGCCACCAGAATTTACAGCCCTGATTCAAGAATGCACCAGAGGATCAACCAAGGCTTCATCATACCTTTCTCAACTGGGGCTACTAAACGGGTTCACCGACCCCACAAAGCCAGGACGACCAAGATTCAAGTCGAACGATACAATCCGAAAATTCTGGATAGCCACGAACGACAAGGTTCACGAAATCGCGCTGCTTTACAAATCAAGAAACGCCATACGCGAAGCACTTGTCAGCCAGCGCATCACTCTGGATGAAACTGTCAACGAGTGTCTCGAAGGGGCTGGGCCTAAGATATGGAGTGACGGAGTGGAAGCAGAGTTCCTCCCTACTCCTGATGTCACTGGGGCGCTCAGTGAAGCCCTTGATGCCGAGTCTGCTCCTAAATTCAAGAACGCTTCAGAGTTCGCCGAGAGCGGGTATCCGAGACACCTCATCTATGGAGATCCTGATGATCGAAACAAGTCAGTTCATAGCAGCTCAGTAGCAGAACGATGAGGACTAACATTCTGCGATCCAGGATCCGACTAAACGTGTTCGGCTATATCATCCAACGTGCCTGTCGTAAGGCCGAAGATGATAGACGCAAAGGGAAAGCCTCTGACGCCTCGCCCGAAACCGAGGATCCCACACCGCCAACAAGCTTCATGGACGCCGTACGCGTCGGTAACTCCAGGCGTATCCGCAGCATGTCGCCATCGCCTGACACCAGTACGGATGAGCTCGCTCGCTTTTCTCCGACTGGCGATTCAAACAGTTCCAAATCCAAAGAGTATCCCAATGTCCCAGCCTCCAAGACCCGATCACTGAGAAACCCATCTTCCACACAACAGGACATTTCACAAACTCGTGTCACACACGGTGTTTCTGTGGTGATACCTCCGAAAAGGCGTGCGGGTACTGGAATCACAGCGTTGGAGAACAGCAAGCGTAAACAGAGCAGATCCCAGGTTGGCAGCAGCTCAGCGAAAGCCAGTGAGTCATCCGTCAAAAGCAGGACCAAATTGACGGAGAACTTTATGGGGGCTCAATTCCTCCATGATCGTAGTGAGCTGGGAATCCAGCTCGACGATCTTCTCGAATCCCAGAATCCAGGACGCCAAGATATTGCAAAACTGCAGAAGGTTGTAGAACACATCGACATGATGGCTGTGAAACATGTCGAGAATCTCAGGAAGGCATTGGGAAGCGAGTACGATGAGCATCAAAGTGCTCTGAACAGATGGCTAGCATGCTTGAGAACACTTGTCGAGTTCCGCGAGGCTACTGGTCTTTCCGGTGATGGCCAAGCCATACTAACCGGCTACAAAGACCTTCCACTAGAGAAGAAGAAAGCACGACGTCCCTACTCCAGAATGGTGCAAGAGATCCAAACATGGCGTGGGTCTGATGGCATGACGCTCCCCGTGTTTTGTAAAGAGGTGGGTTCCATACTCTTGAAGATGGCTAGCTTTGCCCCTTTGGGTGTTGAGCTAGATGAGCTTCTTGAAGATCTGATACCTTACACGGAGCGCCTGATGGAATGCTTCCCGGCTACATCGGCCAATTCCTGATCCCTAAAAGGATCATCAACATGTTGTTTTGGTTTGTAGGGGTGGTATGTTGCGGCAGCTCGGTTCAGAGGGCTATAGAGGATGGGTAATAAGTGTCGATACTGTTCTGCAAGATTATTACTACACCACACTTCGGACCTTGAAGCAATGTTCGTAACCGCCCGTGACAACACCTGCAGTATTGACAATTTTAGGATATCGCCAACCGTCTAACGACTGCCTCACTTCGCTTGAACCGATGTTCAGCTGTTCTAGAATCTCCATGACGGCAGCATACAAAACATCAAGGTTACCGTCTTCGACTTTGACGGCGATTCCGATAGCACCGTGATTCATTCCAGCCAGATCAGCGTCGGGTGAAGCACGAACTGCGACTGCATAACATGCATCCGCTCCAATCTTGCCAACGACTTGCCCACTATAGGGCGTCATGAGCGCTGTGTCGAAACGACCTTCGCCAGCAACCAGTCCGGGGTAACTCGCCATGCACTTGTGGATCCGAGCTAGATGTCGTGTTCTTTGATCGAGTGTCTCTTTCGAGGGACCATCGGAAAGGTCGGCGGCACCCGCAAGCCTTGCAAACATGAGCGCGAGGTTCGGAAGAGGCATCGCCGGCGTAGGGAGGTTGCATCCGTCGACAGTCCATAGCACCTCTTTCTTCGTGAGTCCGCTTACATCCTCAACAGCTCGGTACACGCGCTGTTGCATGGGATGCTCATGTAAGTAGTAGTCGTGAGTTGTCACACCCAGACACACCGCACCTGCTACCATACCGACATGTTTTCCGGAGCAATTGTTATAGATAGCAGTCGGTGCAAAATCTTCTTTGATCCATGCACGGTTGACAGCAGCGTTCTGAGCAGGGTGTCCGCCGCATGTGAGTACCTCCTCTTTCTCTCCCGTCTTCTCCAGCATCGCTTGTGCTCGTTCGATATGTCGAGGTTCACTACTATGCGAAGCGCACATGAGCGCTACATCTGCGTCGTCGTAATCGAATCTCTCCGCAGCTCCAGTTTCCAAGATCGCAAGGGTCTGAACTGGCTTCGTTGACGATCGCGCAAGGGTCATCCTTTGGTAGTCGCCAATTGTGTAGAGTAGTTTGCCAGAGGCATCAAGAATGGCTGCGTGTACGTTGTGTCTGTTCTCGATGATGCCACCTCGGTAGCTGATGACTACGTCATTCTTAGGGAAACTATCCGATCCATCCTTGATAACAGTACTCTGCGTCAAAGGTGTTGTCGCGTCTTGTGGCTTCGCTTTCGTATCCTCCGTGGCATGTACCATGACTTGGCTGAGTCTGCTATATTCTGTGGAAATCGACTGGGACGAGAGCGGCGAAGATCCGAGATACTGTGCTGATGGCTTCGTTTGTTCTAGAGTTTGAGAGGAGAACTGCGTCAAGGTTGAGGCCTAATTGTGGAAGACATAAAGTGCGAGGAAATATTGTTAGTGTAGAACGCTGTCGCGTCCGGCGTACACCTGCCTTTCAATGTCTAGCGCGAGTGTCTTCATTACCTAACCGCCGTCCGATTGAGTATGTCATTGCGTATGTAGGGCTAAGGAGGCAGCGCATTTTCATGGGAATGGACTGCTTGAGATGCGCCCTACACGTGGCCGATAAGGCGCGCGATAAGGGTCCAGATGGGCCTGCGAATGGTGAACGGGCTATGGTGGTGTCGCGAAAATTTTGCGCTTGTTGTCGCTGAGCAAACCACGAAGATTTATCGGACAGTACCTGACGCTCTCTACTCAATAGTTGCAGGCGACTGACGATGAGGGTTGGGATGGAACCAAAAGTGGTGAGACTGGGCCTCGGGAAGGCGCGCAACGCGCTAAGACACTAGCGTGTTTGACCTTAGGAGGCTACGGGCTTGCTTTTTGAACGCGTGAACGCGTAGAAATCCTAGGTAGCCTCCTTGACGCTTCACACGTGTGACCAGGTGGAGTTGTTGCGACAATACTGACGATGCCGCCGAACAAACTATGCTTACTTTGATACACCTTCCAGCCGCCGCGACAACGGCAAGCCTTATCGTCCATAGGTTTTTTTTAGCCTGTGTAGTCGCGATCATGGATTGTGCAGAACTCGAAGGCATGTTTGAAGTAGAAGAAAGTCTTGATAAATTGTTCGCTAAAAGTATATACATCTAGTTGAAGAGAAGGGAATTTTTGAGCTCCTGCGCAGCAAGAACTGGTGACGTCACCGTCTATACGCTGAAGCTTACAGCGGGAGTCTTCCAGTTCACGAACTCTGGGCCGATCTTCTTGAGGTCGGTTACACCAATGTTCGCCGCGTCATTTATGAGCTCGTACTTGAGCATCTCTGTCGCCCTTGCGACACCCTCAGCGCCGTAGATGTTGGCGTACATGAAGGGCCTTCCGAGACCGACAGCCTTCACACCGAGAGAGAGGAGCTTGAGAACATCGGTTCCGTAGCGGATGCCTCCATCAGCGTAAACCTCAATTTGCTGGAAGATCTCGGGGTCTTCGTTGTAGATCTCCAGGGCGACTTCGAGGGATGATGGCGAAGTGTCGGTTTGACGGCCGCCGTGGTTGGAGAGGAAGATGGCCTTTACGCCCTGCTTGACGGCTTCGCGAGCGTCTTCGACAGTCTGGATACCCTTGGGGATGATAGGCAGGGAGGTCATGTTGGACAGCTGCTGGTACAGATCCCAAGTCAAGAGACTCAGGTTGACGTCGGCGGAACCGACACCGTAGCGGGCAGCACGGTGCCTGACACCATCACCGGGAGAGTCGACAGTCAGGACAATAGCCTTCGCACCAAGATCCTCGATCCTCTTGAAGAGGACCTGGGTGTCGTTCATGTCACCGTCAAGGTAGACTTGTTGGAACAAGACCTGCTCTGAGCCGTTGGGGCGAGCAGCGTAGATGTCTTCCAAGCTCTTGGACGAGTAGAGCGAGGTCATGTAGAGGATGTCGCCTTCGCCGGCACCCTTGACGAGCCCAAGCTCACCATCCTCGTTGGCATATCCACCACGCGCACATGGGGAGATGAAGAAGGGTGCTGAGAAGTTGTGGCCGAGGATAGTTGTGGGCATGGAAGCCTGGATGTTGGTGATGTCGCGGAGGACGCGGGGCCTCAATCGGTAGCGCGAGAAGACTTCGAGGTTGTTGCGGTATGACCATTCGCCAGCCGCTCCGTTGCGGTAGTATGTGTAGGCAGAGGTGTTCATGTGCTGGCGGCCGACCCATTGGAAGTCTGGCAGACCGACCAAAGACTTGAGAGGAGGTAGGGTGTCATTAGCGACGAATCCAGCCAACTGGTCGTCGATACCAGTATCGGGTTCGTTGAGGAAAGGGCGTGCTGCCAGAGCGCAAGTAGCGAAAGCAAGGAGTGAGTAACGCATCTTGAGCGAGTACTGTTGGGGTATCTAAGAGCAGGAAAGATCGACGTTGGGTGAAAGATGGGTTGAGTGGAAGATCCCAAGACTCTTATACCTCCTCAGTCAAGTCTGACAGGCATGGGACGGGCAGAGCTGTGCCTACTCGGCATGCAAGTCACTCTGGGCACAAGATCTTGCATGCCATCTAACCCTTGCCTGCACACCATCTGTGCCAAACTGGACTTGACATGGCGCTACTTGCCAACTTAGGTTTCGAAACCATTTGCGTCATCGGAGAAGGGCCGCGAAGTCCCTTCATCTGATAAACAATCCTATCAAAACGTCTAAAGTGGAGCACCACTACGTCCCGCTGTGTTGCCAAGCGCTCCAGAGGCGGTCGCGACTGGGTTGTTGTTTAGCATGAATTGGACGCACAGGGCACAGAAAGCTGCATCGGACCGATGTGGTTCATGTCAGGATTGTCAGTCCAGGCACGCGGGTGACCCACAGCGGAATTTCACATCAATCGGTGCCGTCGCGGTAGCTTGATTGGTCAGTAGATTGATAATGGCTGCACAGTTCCTGAAATTGAGGTACCGGAACCAGCTCGAAACGTGGAAGGTGGCTTCGGTCACTGCCGTGGGATTCCCAGGTTGCTCGGCACATTGCCGGACCTGGAACGTCACTTATCCCACGAGCTAGGCTGAAACGTCTTCCAACTTTTCAGCCTGGTGACAAAGCAAGCAGCGCCTTGATTCCGCTGCTTCTCTAAGCCTTACATTGGCCACCGATGGCGATAGAACAACGGGCTATGCTCTGGTCGATTAATGATGAATAAATGATGCAACCAACGTCGTTATCTCCCCATCAGGATTACGACAATACTGAGTTATTACAACGTGTTGCTTCCTGACGAACTTCACATGAAAAATATTGAGATCAAAATGAGATGATCCATCAATACGGCATCGTAACGATGATCAAGATCGTGTGTCATGTGTGCTCTGGTCGGGCGTTGTGGCAAGGCGGCTAATTGCTGTCCTTGGCCCGAGGTCGCAACATCGATCGTACATACATGCTGCATCGGGCCATGTGCATACCGGACTTCCTGAAAAAATGCTCGTTATCTCAGGAAATTGGCTACTCTCTGCGATTGATGTTGTACCTACGGTGCTACCGCATCGGATCGCCGCTCCGAAGCTACGCCTGTACTCCAGTGGGCTGTAATGCAGGTCTTTCAATGTCGGCACAGTCACACGTCCCCTAACCGCCTACTGAAAGAACCTTTTCTCGCGCGAACAGACGTGTGTGGATTATACATGATACTGAGGAACGATGAAGGAGTGAACAGTGGCCCAGATAATTTACAGCCTGAATACGCTAGTGGGTTAGCGCGAAACGGCCAAGGCTCTCGTCCACCGGGCCACGGGTTCCTGCTCACATTTGTCTATCCACCGACGGCGAACATCCCAGGTCAACGCTGTGTATCGATTTTACTCCACATTCATAGCTGGAAGAACGGGTGTCAGCACCATCTGCCAGGGAACCGGGCAAATCCGATTACGCCCAGGTCGCATCTCCGTCTTTCCTTGCTCGCTCCCTGCAAAGCATCGCATTCGATGCCTCTTAATAGGACATCAACCATGGCTTGGCTGATGAGGCTTTCTCTTCTGAGCGTACGAAATTAGGGGGCTTCGTGAAGGCAAAGCTTTGTGTAAATTCCGACCGTGAAACGATGCCTCCTCTTGGCGTAGTGACAGCCGCTTCGGGAACCGAGAGACGACCAGAGATCATGCAACACTCCAGTGATGCAGCAAGCTCAATTACTGAATACCGTCGAGCCTGCAGAGCTCGTGAGGACAACATGATCTGGTTGCGTGGTTCCAAGAGGTGCGGGGAACTCGTGCCGCAAACGCGGGGTTATGCCTACCATCAACACTGTCCTCTTTGTTCACTCACAGACACGAGCACAAACAGAAGAAGCCTTCCGTCATGGCAAGCAACTTACGTGTTGCGGCCTGTCATGCGTCACCTGTCTTTCTCAATGCACGCAAAACAACAGATAAAGCCCTATCCTTCATCAGACAAGCGGCATCCAACAAGGCCAACCTCGTGGTCTTTCCGGAAACCTACATCTCTGCCTTTCCGATCTGGAGTTCTCTACGACCCCCTACTGAAAATCACTCCCTATTCCAGCGTATGGTACAAGAATCTATCTATGCTGATGGCGATGAAATGGAGGCATTGCGCGAAGCGGCTCGGTCGAATAACATCCTAGTGAGCATCGGCTTCAGCGAAAGGTCGCGACACAGCAACGGCTGCTTGTACAATTCGAACATCTTCATTGGAACTGAAGGCGAAGTCTTAGTTCACCATCGAAAGCTGGTCCCGACTTTCTTCGAAAAACTCACATGGAGTAGCGGTGACGGCTATGGGCTGCGTGTTGCTAACACGCGATACGGGCGTATCGGCGCCTTAATCTGTGGCGAGAATACTAATGCACTTGCAAGGTACTCTTTGATCGCGCAAGCAGAGCAAATTCATATATCAACTTGGCCGACGATATGGCCGACAAGAACTTCACGTCACACAGCCCAAACCGCCGAGCAAACCACCGACGATAGCAATGTGCAGTCGAGTCCAAGCGTTGCGCGTGGAACAAACTACGACAACTTAGCCGCAAACAAGACCCGTGCTGCAGCGCATTGCTTTGAAGCAAAATGTTTCGGTGTGGCATGCTCAGGCCACCTTGGTGAAGATGCTATCAGAACGATCATCGAGGGTGCAAGTCAGGCGGATGTGGTGGCCGAGACCCTACACGCTATGCCACGAGCTGCGACCTTCTTCCTGGACCCTACCGGCGCGCCGTTGCCTAGCTTCACTTACAAAGGTGCGGAGAAAGAACACGTATCCGCATTGCAAGATCAAGAAGACATATTGTATGCCGACATGAATCTTGACGACTGCATCGAGGGCAAACAATACCATGATGTAGTTGGCGGATATCAGCGACCCGACGTGTTTGACCTCAAGGTCGACCGATCTAGAAAAGAACCGGTGCGCTTTATTTGAGATCAGAATACCGCGGATGTTACCTACCAGTCGTATGTTACTTTAGCCTGCTGTCTCGGAATGCGCCGAACCGACTCACAGTGCGCTCCTCGATCGCGTGCACATCTTATGCACAGGCCGGCGGCACTACTTCGACACGCCACAGCACTTTTGCTCATCACCCTGGAAGCCAAAAACTCCATCATGGCGCGCTTGTATTACAGAAACCTTCTGTCTACAGCCGCCGCAGCGGCCCGTCCAGTTTGGGTGTCTTGACCCAAATGTACGGACCCGAGCTGACTGTCAGCAAGCTCTTGCGGGGTGAGAGTTCTCACCAAATCCTTGGGCGTGGGTTCCGATTCAGATGGCTGCAGATCGAGCAGGGGTCGCGAGTTGTCGCAATCAAAAGCTTAATATTGGTCGGTCTTAGCTCGGGGACTCTAGAACCACATCACGTCGCACTGCAGCAAGGCCTAGGTTGAATGTTCAAACACACAACTTACTCGCATCTCTTACGAAAAACATACGATTTGCACAGGCCGTTTATCGTCCATATACCGAACAATCTTCCTTGTTGTTGCGAAGTGCTTTCAAGTTGCATGCTTACTACTCGTTCCGGTGCCCTGGCATTAGGGTATTTGAATCAGTTCAATCTATGACCAGCGGCAGGTCTGAGCGCATTGCCGACTTCGCGAAGGAAGCGCGCATCTTCACCCTCCAACTCGAAGCTCAGCAGATCTCCTCACAGCAACCAGCTATATTGGCCAAGTAAAGCGCCACGTCCGCAGATTCTTGATACGGTATGATTACCCCACAGCTTTACAGTCGCAGTGCTCCAAGACCAGGACGGAGGCATGTATGCAGGTTGCGGTGTTAAGCCATTGGAGTGTCAGCAGGCCGCATTCAACTCATTTTGAACATTACTGATCAAGCCGAACAGCATCTTACGCTGCGCGCCCCAGGGCAAGTCAGATGCACATCGAGCAGGTAGCACATCTTGCGAGAGAATTTTGCGAGAGAAAGATCCTCTTGTTTGTTGCGCAACTAACGTAGCATCTCAAAACTCTCGCCCTCCTCCCAGTCCATCGAGCAAGACGATCTCGCTCCTCTCTCTCTTTCCATAATCTCCTACTCATCACCGCTGGCCGCCTAGCCAAACAAATCCCCAAATGCAGACCCATCGTCCGAGTCCGCGTCGATATCGATACCCTCCTCTCCTTCCTTCTCGTCGCTTCCATCCTCTCCAGTTGTCTTCTCATCGTCCCTGATATCCGAGGCTGTACCGCGACCGGCAGGTGTGGCCGTGGTCGCGGTGAGGATGATGTCCTTGACGTTCTTGTCCTTCAAAGCGTTGCTGAAGAGTGTGGTCCAGATGGGCTCGACGTCCTCGATACCGGCGGCCTTAAGGAGTGCTTGCAGCTTTTCGGGTGTGATTGTGATACCTTCGTCGGCGAGGATCAAGGCAGCGTAAGAGACGGCTTGTTCGGCCTGGTTGGTGGTGGCAGACATTGAGATGACGCGGTATGGTGTGGGTCGATGAGTGATGTTAAGAGGAAGATCTGACAGCCGCAGTAGCTTCTTGTGACCTTTGGATCGGGTTGTTGCTCTTGTCAGAGAAGCGAAGTCTTTGTGTTGGTGTCGATAAGGGTCTGTCGTTCAGGTGGTCGATTCGTCATACAACTTTGGACGGGACGAGTTACTTTATATGTGTGTGCGGAGGAACACCAGCTCCTATGAGTCTTAGCATGCGCTTGTCATTCTAGGACTATGTTTCATTGCGATCCATGAATGCGATCATATCGCGCACTCTGACCTATTATCTGAACAGCCAGCCGCTCACGGTACCGCAGTTTCAGACGAGCTCGGACGCGCTCTCGACGGAGGGCTATGATTGGTGCGCGAAGACTACGCCCCGAACATTAAAGGTACTGTTTCGACGTTGGAGTCAGCAAAAGGGCGCAACGCCACCCAGAACAGCGGTTCGCCTCGTTGCTCTTCTGAGTCACGGCCAACATCACCACACAAAGCCACGCACGCGAACCCCGAATACAGAGGAAAGAGACATAGTGTTTCACTAACTAGGATTTGACGGTTCGGTAGCTCACAGTCATAAAGTGACTCATGATTCCATCCCTAATTGGACCAAGAGGCAGAAGGCTTATAAAAACGAGCTTGCCATCAGCGCCAGCACCGGAAAAAACGCATGCGCACAGCTTCTTAAATTCAAAATGTGTAGACCCTTCTTTTATGAGCGGTAATCTGTCAGTTCCAGCTATTGCCTGCTTGGGTACATTCCAGTCCACATTACAACTAAACACCTAGGTACGGCATTCTGACTTACACGGGCGCCGGTACGCAGGTGCGTTTGCTGCATCAAGGAGCCCTGACACGATGTAACTCTTTTCAGGGTCTTCAAGCCTTGGAATAAGAGATTAACCTCCATCATCTGACAATTCGTTGCCCCGAGTGCTGGCCAGTGGAAGCGAAAGAGCCGTGAAGGATACGACGCAGTCACTTCTGGGAGGCGCGAGCATACTAGCGGGGCCAGGAGGATACAATGTGCTATTCCCTTTTGGAAGCGTCTTTGAAATGATTGCTAGTGGTATGGTGATGAGTAATGATGGGTCAACGTGACTGCCGTTTGCATGTCTTGGCATTGTTGTTGTTGTTTACGAAATCTCTTCGCCGTGTCTCACTTAATCACCCACACTACACGATCCCCGAAAATCTCTCGTCTTTCCAAAACCCGCTTCTAATTCCCACAATGGCCTTCCCACGTCTACAGAAGTTGGTCGACAATGCAGCTGCACAGCTTGACGAAGAGCTCCTAGCTGGACTGCCGTTCACAGTCAAACCTCCATCTCCAAGGCGACTTCTGAAGCTGATCGTGGATCACGCTAACGATCTGAACGTAAGCTCGTATGATCTGCCTAAACTCACGAAATGCTAAGGATGTCAACTAGTTTCACGCCTGGGAATATCAACATCGCATAGCTGCGGAGTTGTTCTTTGGAGATTACACTGAGGCGCTTGTTGCTGGCGGTCACCTCAAGCTTGACCATAGGCCCGCTTCAGCTACTCGAGCTACACCATCAATGGCTCCTACGCCAATAGCTACTACTCATCAATCAATAGCTGCCACTCAACGAGAAGCTTCTCATGAAGCTCTAGTACTTCACTTACGGCGAAGAAAGGCTTCACGCAGCAGCATGTGGGAAGCTTCTCAAGCCCATGGAGCTTTGGGAAATGCAAAGCTCAAGCTTTGCTCTAGCTTCTTCCGAAGCGCACGTGGTTGTGTTCGAGGTTAGTCCTTCAAAATGAGCCATTTCTGTATCATGCGTTAACACACGATAGGAAATATGTGCGAGCTTTCGCACATCCATCCTACCGAGCTTCAATTCGCCGCCATGGAGCGATACAACCCAGCTTTAACTTCCTATCTGAAGCGAGCTTGTGAGCTTCGGCTTCCGGAGTACACTAGCTGCTTCTCAAGCTACGCAGAGTGTGCCCGGTATATTCCGGGGTACGAGACCCCAATGCGGCGTCCCAGTCAGGCTCGACACCTTTGAGCTGATCGAGCTGATCCGCGACATGAATGAAGAACAGCTTTCCTTCTTCTTGGAAACGGATGAGCGAGCTGCGCCTCTGGTCACGAAGCTCCTCGACATCAAGGACAAGGATCAGGCCGAGTTCGCGAGCTTACGGCGAACACATGCCGCATTTCTCAAGCAGTATCAGGAAGCTCAAGCTGAGTTTTTGTTCGAGCTCCACGAGACAGTTCTTCAGCTTGAGAAGAACCGAGCTCTGCATCCCCAGGTCGAGCAGCTAACTCTTGAGCTGGAGTTGGAGAGGGAGGCAAAGCTTAGATTCAAGGAAGCTGCCGATGGGCATGTGGAGCTTTCGGCAAGTCGACGTGCTGCGCTTAGTAGCGCGTGTGCGCAAGAGAGGTAAGTCTCTGTCGTATCGTACTTGACACTTGTACTAACTTCGTCTTACAGAATGCGCGGCGAGCTCCAGGCCAAGCTTGACCTTTCGATCGAGGCTGCCGCCATCTCCCAGGCTGCGCAAGAAGTCGCTGCAGGTCACCGACGACCTTACTTCTGGCAGGGCTTCCTCCGCGGAGCCAAGTGGGATAACAAGCTGCAACCGCTTCGGCGGCTTGTTGGAGAACCAAGCTCAGCTGCTTCTGCCACGACCTCTCGGCTTCCCGCGCCACTCTCCGACAAGCTTACACGTGCCGAAGCTTTCCACGAAGCTGTGGTCCTGCTCTCCTCCCCCCTTCGGAGGACATCAAGCTTAAATTCCGGGAGCGAGCTGCTCAGCTTTGGGAGCTTGTGCGCAAGACCGACGGCAAAGCTGCGAACTTGCCAGGTCGCTTCAAGGACAACAACAAGGCGGGAATGTCATATCGGCTAGCTGCACCTGCCGAGCTCAAGGCAGAGCATCCTTCCAAGGTCTACTTCGACCACTTCTGGTCTCACGCTGTAAGTTTCTCCCCTAATCAAAATGATGAATTCCGCTCACACTCTCAGTCCAAATAAGCTACTTCTCTTCACGTCTGCAGCTGTAGCTCTTGTCTCTTTCTCGGCTCAGTCATTGCAGCTAATGACTGTGTTTTCTCTTGCGTCCATAGCTAAATCAGTATCATGATGAGTATCCTACTTTTGTGCTTGTAACGTGATACGTCTTGCAACATAACAGCTCATGCCTACTGCGCAGACACTGTTTCATATCCCAACGAATTGCTTGCCGCGATAGTATCGAGGCCTATCGCGGCTTTCTTATGACTGGGCGCCCGGATCGATGGACCATCTCCTGCAGCACTCGAGGTTGGTGCCGCCCAGTCCAAATGATCACTGCAATTGCTGCGCCCGGGCGGGTTCTGGTGACCCCGAGCTAGCGTGGACTGCCTCAACAGGGCGCGTGCACGTCCTTTACCCCGATTGGGTTTGCGGGCATATCGACCAACGCTGCACCTTCAGCACCTTCACTCTTTCTTCCATCCTCCCGCACCAGACTCCCAACGATGGTAGAAATATACGAGCGCCCTGGGCCCCCAGACCCTCCAGCTGAGGACGAAGACTGGCCCCATGAAGACGGCATTCCCGATGACGATGTCAAATCCGCCATAGCCGCCATCAAGCACGCCAGACAGTTCTGGGATAAGTATGAAGACCCCACTAGCAGGAAAGCCAAGCAGAAAGAGAAGTTCTATACCTTACTAGACGGTCACATCGCGCGACTCGAGGATGTTTGGGAAGCTGTAGCTTCATACAACGCAGATAACTTCTCGTACACGTCGCGAAAGTCAACAATGGATGCCAAACTGCGGGATCCCGAACTCCTTAGCTTGTGGGAAGAGCTAATCGCCGAACAAGAGGCAAAAGACGAGAACGACGACACTATGGAACCGCTCCATAAGGTGGAGCAGAAGCTTCGTCGAATCGCGCTGACGGGTATACAAGTCGGTTATCTGACCAAAAAGCACGGCAAGAAAGAGAAGGCATCGTATGGACCTGACGTTCGGAAGCCGGTGTATGTCTCCTGGTCAAAGGATCAGAAGCCGCTATATCGGACGTACACGGGGATGCTAGTTCGCCAGCCAGACATGGTATGGCTGCCGAACGCGACAGTCTTTGCAGCTGAGAAGGAAGCCAAGATTCGATGGCGCGATGTCAGGGTGAGCTCTCCGACTTTCCTGTCTACGTCAATCTTCCAATTTGTGCTAACCGCTTTTATAATAGGGCGTATTGACCCTGTACGAGACAAAGCAGCTGAACAAGACGGAGCTTGAATGGTTCTTATTGAACCATGCAGTTAGAGACGTCGCTATCGGATACAGGAAGCAGCTTTTGCCGGAACACGACACCGCAGCTACCAACCAGTCCTGGAGTATCTGGCAGAATCGGGTCGACACCAATGAGCTTTGGGCAGCTAAGCTGGCGTCTTTACGAAAGCTTACCCCCAAAGCAAACAGCGCTACAGCCGCATACGCAGCGGCATATTTGGAGCACTACCGAGAGTATGAGCCTAATCTGAAGACCATGCGCGACTGCGAAGTTGACAAGTTCATAGTCCAGTTCTTGGATGCAAGAGTACTGCGACCGGAAGCTGGTACGGACGATGATTTGAAGCTCAAGCCATACAAGTCTCCTAGGGATGTCGGTATCTTTGCGTCCAACTAGGATGACGAGGGGAAAGGATGTTGTGCTTTGGATCCCAGGAGCGAATCTACTACAACACCTCGATCCTCCCCATGGCCGGATTTACCGAGGTTGCCGCGCTCGCGAACATGAGGTCCAGGCAGATTACTTTGCGTGCTCAGTCGCGTCGGCCTCGTTCTGCGCAGTTCTGCGCAGCTCTACGCGGATAACCCAGAGGGCTACATCGCCTTAGAACAACCTAGAATTCTTTGCTTTGTGTGAGTGTAGACTTCCGAGCACCTCTTCAGATTCGTTGCTGCATGGCGTGGTGTTCCGGTCGGAGGCCACCTGGGCACGCGCGGCCTATAGAAAGGTGGCGGGGTCAAAGCTCACAGTACGCGTATCGCGTATCCGGCGTATTGAGGTGCGTTACCGCAAGCTTCACTCGGCATCATCTATAAAACAACTGCTGCAAGACCCACCATTATGCTTTCAATCTACCCGAGCCGTTACCATGGCCAAGACTACTGCTTACAGTATGGCATTGCTGCACTTATACACAGGTGCAGCTGCCCTCGGCGCAAGCCTGCCCCCGTCGTATCAAAGCAATCACGACCTTGCAGCCAGGAACAACAACCAACAAGCTGTTCTCAACACCTCGCTACACATTCCGAAGCTTCCAAAGCCAGAAAAAATTGACATCGTCGAACTACCTTTACCTCCAGTTTCTCCAAGCCAAGACCCTGGCGCATGTCCTAATCAAACCGGGTGCATCGCGAGAGAGCTTACCGAGAAGTTTCAAGCGGGAGACTTCACTCCGGACGGCCGGAACGTCATCGTCACAGTGACCTTTGTTGGAGCTCCCGCGGCTCCAGACCCGGCGAGCATCTACGATGGAGTCCAGCTAATCCTGATCAAGACTGATAGCTCAAACTTCAGCAATGGCGATGCGTGGAAGTGCCTAACGTGTGGGGTACTGGCTGAGAACGCAAGAGAACTGGATCCACAACGAGACTATCCTCATGTCTTCAGAAGCGGCGACAAAGCAATCTGGGGCCACAACATCCTTGACTGCAACGGGAAGCAGTTGGCTAGCGATGAATGTACGCCTGACAATGTTCACATCTATCCGATTCACTGGTCGGACGGCAGTCCGCGTGAGCTGCGTATGCACCCCGATGACGTCCATATTGGTTGGAGTTCGTTCACCAACGATGCTGGGCAGTATTCCTACTTCGGGCGTCTGGAGTTCAATGCGAGACCCTCAGGGTCGGGCCCTGGTGCGCCTCGCTATGACCTGGTCGATGTCGACCTCCTCGTGGATCCAGAACGCCGAGCTTTCATAACGGCTGATGGCGAAGAGTTGAAGCTTCACCCCGACTCAATCACAATTGGCGAACTGCGGGGTTTCAGTGGTTCCGGCGACGAGATACTCTACATCGGTGCGCCGACCGAGTCGACAAATATCGATCTGTATGCGGTTCACATCGAGACTGGGATTGTTCGCCGCCTGACCAGTCACCCTGATTACGCTGATCCTATTGCTTTCTCTGCCGATAACCAGTGGTTCGTCACTCAGGATACGCGTGCTAGCAAGCGCCAGATGTGGATGTCGGGTATGCGAGGTATTCCGCCTCTTATCGACATCGTTGCCGTTGCTGTAGCCGCATCTACACGCAACAATGGCCCACGTCGCTTCTTCCAACCAATCTTAATAGATCGTTATGGGGATCGTGAGTCGTACTACGGGCAGCAGGTCAACGGAGAAGGCGATGGTAGCGAAGGAGGCTTTGACGATCCGAACTGGAACGGCCGAGCGGACCCGGCTTTCTCTTTGGACAGCACGCGTATTGTGTACTGGCAGGCCATTGTGACTTCGCCAGCCTGTGGTGGCATCAATCCGCTGCAGTGTCCAACTTCCACTGCCCCAGGTGGGCGTGAGTATCGTGTCATGCTCGCCCAAATGACCGATCGCAAGCCTACGCGTGCAGCCACAGTTTACAAGGTGCCTGGTCGCATACTGTGGGCGACGCCGTTCCCATCAGGAGCCAAATTTCCTTCGCAACCTACACTGAAGCCAGGCAACTATACACTCCATGGAAGCATCTCTGGCTTTGCGAAAGTGGAGCTCATCGGAGACACGGCACATCCACAAGGAGACTCCATCAAGCGTGTCGCTGCCAACTACACCAACTTCTGCAATGATGGCGAGCACATCATCAACGGCTGGGAGGACGTTGAGCTGACGGTTTCGACTCCGAATGTGTGGGACCAGAAGCTTGATTGGTACTCTGACATCTCGCAGACGGGATCTGCGACTGGAAGCAAGAAGACTAGCCCGGATGGGTTTCATTTGAGGATCGATGTGATGAAGAACATACTCGAAGCAAACGGAACGTTGACCACGACGATCGACGGCGTGGAGTATCACCAGCCGGCCAACGGTACCTAGAAAGGATATAATTAGCTACCTAGATATAGCTGAATTGATGGGCGGTTTCGCGTCAGTTAATCCTCCCGAGTCGCGTGTTGATTGCGTGCGTATTGAAGTCGCATAGTTGCTTGATCACCGCCATTCGGTTACTCCTATGATTGGTGTGGTCTGATCTGTGACAAATGGACGTATGAGTGGCGTGGGGAAGCATGATAGGGTGGCGAAAGTGTGATTGTCCCCGGCGGAGCTGCTTTTTGCCAACACGCGGAAAAAGCATACCAGGGCCACAGGCGTGTCGTACAGCGTTCTTCATCAATCGACTGATATCTGCAGATGGGAGAGTCTGTCACGCATGTCGTGTGTCGCATGTAGCATGTTGAGCTGTTTGGCGTGACGGTGACGTACCTAGCGGCCGGACAATTTGCCCTTGCTTAGGCTCAGGCACGTGGCCCTCTTGGCGGCGGGTACCCGCATCTTTCGCCTGCCACCACCGAGGCTTGAGTATCCGCAAGTCGCACGTTTGTGACTTGCAACCTTTCTCAGCGATCAGTTTTTGGACCCCAACGATGGCGCGATATCTCGTGGATGCTTTGTAAGAGCGTACACCCGTCGATTACCGACGCCACCCAGTATGGCGCAACCCAGTATAACCACATAGCGTCACTCCTATGGCCAGCACGTATGCTCGGTGAAGCCGTCTTGTCCTGGCACCTGCTTCCCCTGGAATGCCCAGATGGAAATCACCGCTTCACGATAGCGTCCGGCCAGCCAGCTTTAAACTTTGCCCCAAAGGGCTTGCTTTTCAGGGCCAGTTAATCTATCTTATCTAGTGCTGCACATCACCCAGGGCAGGTCCTCTCATTGCCCATGCATCTCTGGATCTACTTGATCCTCCCGGGCAGGTGCATCTGGAGTTTCAGCGGAGACAGGACGAAAGCAGAAGGAGATCAAGTTAGCGCCCGGCGTAATTCGCGAAGTCGGCCAATCAGCGGCAGGCGACACCATGGCACCTCCGACACGTTTATGCTAGAGTATCACCTGCCGACCATTAGGAGAAGGTCGATCGTTACACCAAAATGGAAGGAATGTATAAAAACAACCTTGTTTCACGACATACTGTAGAGCATCGGCAACTTCATTCTAACGTTCCCCATATTCTTCACCCCAAGCAGACTCAAGATGAAGTACGCTCTTGCCGCAGCTCTGATACTCCAGAGCACTACCGTACTCGGTAGCCTTCTGCCTGTCCATTTCAACGCACCTTCTCCAGCACACTTTCTCGACATCGTCAACAATGGCACATACGATCTTGGCTGCAGACCCAAGGCGGTGCCATCGAAAGAAGGCGATTTCGAGCTTCACGCCCTGCTGACCGAGGACCAAATCGCGTATCTGTCCAAAGAGTACGAGAACCATGCAGAGATCAGCCTACACCGTCGTGACCTCAGCAAGAGGGCTGCCACCGCACCGATCGGCACTGGCGACCGTTGGTCGGGCGGTTCAGTCACACCGTCTGGTCTTGGCACCAAGGCTACGGGATCGACCATGAGCAGCATCATGAATCCCACCGAGATCAACTCTGCCATCAAGGGACTCGTCAGCGGATACGGTATCAGCACCGTCACTCTGCCATACAAGACCTTCAATGGCGCTACGCAAACCGCCGGATACGTTGGCGCCGGCACAGACAAGTCCAAGTACCGCCTCTATCTCTCCGCTGGAATGCACGCACGCGAACGCGGAGGCCCTGATCAGCTCATCTACTGGATCTCAGATCTCCTCGCCGCGAACAAGGCTGGAAGCGGTCTGAAGTACGGTAGCAAATCATACACCAATGCTCAAGTCAAGAGTGTCCTTGCCGCCGGTATCGTCTTCTTCCCGCTCGTCAACCCAGACGGTGTCGCATACGACCAGTCTTCAGGATCACTATGGCGCAAGAACCGCAACACACGGTCCGGCACTAGCGGTGCCTCCGTCGGTGTAGACATTAACCGCAACTTTGACTTCCTGTGGAACTTCAAGAAGTACTTCGACCCCTCCACATCCCCTGCTTCCACCTCGCCAAGCTCAGAGGCTTTTTACGGTTCAGCCGCTGCATCAGAGTCTGAGACCAAGAACCACGTCAGCGTCTACGACTCATTCCCGAAGATCAGGTGGTTCATGGACATCCACTCCGCTACTGGCGACATCCTGTACAACTGGGGTGATGATGAGCTTCAGAGCACCAGCACCACCATGAACTTCCTCAACAGCGCGTACGATGGAAAGAGAGGTCGTCTTGGCGACTCCACGTACAAGGAGTACATTCCCTCGGCTGATGCGACAAACATCAAGAACGTTGCTGCCAAGACGGCGGCTGCGATGCGAGCAGTCGGTGGCCGTGACTACACATCCATGCAGTCTGTCGGCCTCTACGCTACCTCTGGTGCATCGGACGATTACGCTGCTAGCCGTACATACGCCAAGTCTGGCGCGAACAAGATCCACGGCTTCACCATGGAGTTCGGATACAGCACCAACTTCTACCCCACTCTGCCCGAGTTCAATACCAACATCCTTGACACCAACGCCGGTTTTATGGATTGGGCGCTCGCCGCGATTGCTGCTG